TGAAAACACGCAGCTGTATATGAATTATTTCAACGCGCCATTTATCTCAGCCAGAGCAATGCGTTGCAATTCGAAGTTATTTTTATCCCTCCACTATCCATTATCTTACATTCTCCTGTTATTTGCAATGCATTGCATTGCATTGATAGTATATATCCAGTGTGTGTATACCATGTAAATACACATGCGCTTGATTACGGATATTTAATCGCGTGAAAAAACAGTGCAACGGTCGAAGGCGAAAAAGGAAAAAAAGGCGATATTTCACGACAATCGATCACTCAGTAAAAAGGGCTTAATTTGCAAGCGCATGCCTGTTGCAACAATCGCGATCGTTTTGCACGCCGGCTGTAAGTGAAGGGCGCTTTTACGAAGCGCATTTATGGCGGTGCTCGAGCGAGCCAACGCGATATCAAATACACAGCAGCTACACTGACGCAAGGCGATTTCCGCATTTTCTTTCTTTCGCCATGATTTTGCATTCCGTTGTTTTGTTACGACTACACATTTGTACACAGATGTACAATCGTTGTTAAAATAGCACATTTACGCGAAATCTTGTCGTCTCTCGATTTTAGAATACTTGGATCTGAATTTTATTTGCTCGAAAGTGAAAAGAAATAGATATTGTCGAGTATTCAAATATTCGATTTGAATGGCAATGTTTTTATAATAACGCAAAATATGAGATTGTAAAGAGAAAATGTTTAAATTATATATAATTCAGACAATGTCACTATTTTCAAATTATTAAAGTGTAATGTGTCAAATGTTCAATGATAGCAATCATGTAGATAGAAAATTTTTTATAAAACAATAAATTACAATCGACTGTAGATTAAAATCGATGTTAAGAAAGATTAAAAGGAATTGCAACAACTTTTCATAGGCATGTCGATAAAATATGTGTAATATATGAATGACTAAGTAACTTTCTTCGATAATTCCCGAATGAGGATCGTTAAAGAAAGGAGAACCAATGGTTCGAGAACGATTTGGATCGACGATTACCCACATTGGGATGTTCGGGAAGGATATTTATGGGCTTAGAAATAGCAGTAGGCCGACAAACGATCGTTACTGTCTCTCAAAGTGTATTTACTGCCACCGTAGTGGTGTACCAATTGCTAGGTGATGTAGAATGGCCATTTGGAATAGATTGCGATTTTGTCGGAACAGACTGCCACTAATTGATACATGAATTCAAAATTATTTTCAGATATTAGTCCTAATTTTGATTAATTTTAATTTAGACAAGTTACATAACATTATTTAAGAATTAATCACAAGAAAAACAGTGATCACTCTTTAAAGCACAATTTTTATCTTGAAAAACATGAAGATAGTTTTGACTTTAAAAATGTCAGCGCACTATATTTAAATTCAGAATATTACAATCGTCCAAAAGGCATGCATAATGAGACTAAAACGAATATTTTTGTAGTTCGTGTTTGCACTTGAAAAATGTTTGTATTCTCCACACAAACAGACTAGCAAAAAACGGTACGGAAAAGATAAGAGCTGCCAACATGGTGTTCGATCGTTACCTCTAGAAACGCCAAGCCCTCGAGTGATCGTTGATCTTTAAAACGATCCGTCGCCCACCGACATCAGCTCTCTTGGAAGATAATCGAACGAGAATGTTACTTTTCCCATGTGTGCGTACGGTAATGTTATCGACTCTTTCTCACGCCACCATCTCGTCCGCCATTCACCCCTTCTTCGGTTTCGTCGGGCTCTTGCTACGTCCGAGAAGTTTCTAACCGATTGTGTACACAGTCCCGATAACGAGGAACTCGCGCATATACAGCGCTGAACAGAAAGTAAATATTGAGTCTTTATCGATCTGACCTGAACGCAATTCCTGAAGAAATTCGCTATCTAAGATAGTGCTGAGAGGGAGGAAGGATGGGAGAGAGAGAAATATGTAAATTACTTCTACAAACGTGTTATCGATCGTACACATTGTTCTACGACTAATATAATAAATATTAGCTATATATGCATCTACACAATAAATGCTTCAGTCGAAGTTTCAGATAATATTCAGGTAATATTTTTATTTTATGGAAACATTTTCTCTACGTATATTTGACATATCAGAAGTGTGAATATTGGTTCTTTCATCAGTTATGTATAGAGGAGATAGTAAAAGCTTTATTGGCTTTATTGCGCCGAAAAATATTTTCAATTATCGCCAATATCGGGATTAATTAGCGACGTTAACTGTAATTGCTAATTATACATTATATAGAATCTATGACATTAAAAGAAAATAAATATGCAGTATATATTTATAATTTAATATCTCTTTACAATATCAAGTATTCACGTAGCAATAAAATTTTATATGTACAGTAAGGGATTCAAATTAGTGAAATATTTCTAAGAGAATCTTAAAAATCCTAAAAGTGTTTCATTTTTACAGCTTCTTAATACGATCTCTTGAACATTTGTTATATAAAAAAACTTTATCTTAATAATTTCCACGTGTGAAAGTTAATAATATCGACACCTGGCACAGTTGCGAATAACTCTTGATGAAGATTAATGAATTTCAGGAAGGAAGTGCGGAGCGAAAGGGTGTTATTCTGTTGGTATCGAAGAAGGATAAAGAAGAAAAGGGTTGACGTAAGCTTTAGATATCGAAAAGAGATAATGATGAAGCCGCTAATGGGATTTGATGAAAAGAATATCATTATATAATGATTATAATTGTTACTCATAATGAGATTATTAAATTCTTGTTAAGCTTGCTTTAATAATAATAATAAGGACATAATTAAAAATACATTACGTCGCATGATAAATAAGATTGTACAAGAATATCGTACATTTATACGTGATATAAAAAAATTACTTATCACAATTATATCATTCTCTTTTAAATCTATAAATAGATTTCGTAAAGCCAACTGTTACTATAATGCTCTGCCATTTATGAGACAATAAGAAAATTTCGTACTCTGTGACATTAGCAATCCATTGCTCGCATATACAAACATCATAAATTTTACTCACGAGGCCACGCGCGCGTGCGAATGAAAATATAAAATTTTAATAAAACAGACCGCGCTGAGTGATCAAATATGTAAATCCTTTATCATGCTGGTTTTCAAGATAACAAATAGAGCATAGTTGGAACAAGAATTAGAGAACCGCATATTATTTCTGCTCCAGAAAAATGGCATAGCTGTGGCACAAAGCTAAAGTTACGCCTTCGCTGTGTATTCGACGTGAAAAAAAGATTGCAAAAGAAAAAGAAAATCTCAGTAAAAAGGGCGTAATTAAAAACTATAGTTCTGTGTGGAAACCCCCATAACATCCTGTCCTCCTGGCGACTTTTTAAGCAGTTTTGCGAGTAACACGCGCTCGACGCGCGAGAGTGTAATATTCTTTACCGGTTATAAACGTTAACGAAGCGCATTGTGCAGCACGTAGGGCAATTTTTCTCCGCAAAACAGTTAACTCTCCTGGTCGTCCTAATGTTTCTCGCAAAAAGTGATTTTTTTCGCGTGTTTATTTTAGCTAGCTTATAAACATTTGCTTGTGTAGTTATTCATATTCCCGTATACCCTCACATCTATGTTCGATAACTTTAATTTGCATAAAATAAATATGTATTTTTTAACTTTGTAACATATATTTTATATATGTAGGTACATATTGCATTTAATGCATAACAAATTTAACAAATTTTTACGTCAAATTACTATTTTATCTATGAGAAAGCATTTTCTGAGCGAGGTTCAAATATTTCACCGAAGCTTTTCGCTAGTTGCTCATTCGGCCGCGTTGCACTTCTTGAATTAAGGATTCATATTAGACTCACGCAATCTTTCCTCGGGAATTGCCTAATGAAATATATAATAAGGAATTTTCACTTTACTCATTTAATATCAAGTCCTATCATTTTGAAATGAGGATAAGGGAAAGTTCCCGCGGAGATGAAGAGGGATAGTTTACTCTGGAAAAGCGACAAAAGCGGAGTGCCGCTTATAGGTAGAAAGACGAAAGGCTAGAGGAGAGAAGTGTTAGGTAGAGACTTATAGCTCCAGTAATTACTACTAATAGCTACCTCCTGAGAAGCGAGGGCGAGAAGGAGGTGGGTCCTATACTATCTTATACTGTCCGAGGGTGCCTGAGAGAATTCCACGTTGGTAAACATCCGGACCATAAATTTTTCCAGGATTCCATGGAATTTTCGTGCACTTTACGGGATCTTTGTTGACGTTCCACGTCGCTTCATATTGCGAAGCGTTGAGGATACGACATTATCGCGCTAGGGGAATGACAAACTAGCGGGAAAATAAGCTCCTTATGAAGATGAGAGAGAGATAAACAACTGAAATATTCAGGATTTTACAGATACATGAGAGTTGTTCCGAATACATCAATGTTTATTCTTCTCGTCTTCGAACAATACTCCAAGTCGAATAAAAGTAATTGAATAAATCAACGAAATTATACGCGCTGCTAATCTCTTACAAGTTTGATATATATTTTGTAAAAGTTGACAATTTGCATTCATTCGTAAAATGCTGCTCTCTATCGCTATGAAAATCACCACGATAACGATACACCCGATAGTATACAATATAAGCACGCCGCGGCGAATAGTCGGAGCATGATTTATGGTCTGACTATATCGTGTCCTTATTCCCTTACTACGTTATCCGTGTCATCGATTCGTGCTTTTATGATATGGTCTACTGGATAATTTGTTTTATTTTTAAATAATATGAGCAATTTATTGAAATTAAATACGCTATATATTTAATATTATAAATAATATATCGGGAAATCGAACAGAACAAAAAATTATTTTATACATTTATATACTTTTTGTTGATATAATTATATTATCATTTTCATATATTATATCCAATTTATTTGTCTCACATAATGATATAATTCTAGCTTTTCAAAAATATAATAAACTTTTATGTTTATATAATGTACGTTCGCTTGCGTCATTTTGTTTAAATATTAATCGAGTGTATTATCTTAAAAAAGTATACAAAAAAAAAAAAGAAAAATACGCTAGTATAGTGAACGGTTGCCCGTATAAACTCTTCGTTTGCCCTGAAAATCCGTGCGATAACGTTGAGTAGTGCTAGCAAACTCGTTGTACGAAATTGTGGGACGTAGCGAGACATCGAATAGCTCCCATGTGATTTACAGTCTAGTCCTATCAACGCTCCGGCCTTCCGTCATGCTACCCTTCACGTGCCCCGCAAAACCGGAAGACGAGCGTTTCTATGAAATAGAAACATCTTGCTGGGTTTCGCGCGGCATAAGCCAACGCTCGAGATATATTTTATGGGGTAACATTTCCCTGAGACGGTGCCGTCGTGTAGAAACACCCGCGAGGAGTATCCCATACATCAGGGTTGCACCCTGTCTCTTAGCGCAGAGACTCTCAATGGAAGTAACAGCATCTTTAAACAAAACAGAAACGAACTATTATATATGTAATCCGTGGCGTGTAAAAAATAGCAGAAATAGGGATCCGTGAATTTAAAATTTCAAGTTATTTAAATATCGCTTGCACAGTATTTTTTTTTATTAACCAAATAATGCTTTTAACGCTTTCGTAATTTCAACATGACATACATGTCATTGACTTTAACAAAGCCAATATAAAAAGTTACATAAACGTACGTTACGTAAAACTTTGAAGTCTTCCTGTTAGTAGTAAAGAAACCCCGAAAGAGATAAAACTTGAGAGTCGTTATCCCTCTCTCTCTCTTTCATTCTCTTAATACTTTTCTCCTGTATCATATCTTCACTCGTTTCTTTCCTTTTGCGCTTCTTGTCTTGTTTCATTCATCTTAAACGTAACGCGAGTATCTTGACCTAGTCTACCAACAGACTTCTTATCAAGTCCACCGTATTTGAGATCACCGTCACGCATGTTCTACGTGCCCGAGAAAACTTTTTGCTCGTGTTTCTACTTTATGAAAATGATTACATTTTTTGTCGTCAAAGAAGATTAATATTTGTTAATTATATTGTCTCATTTTTTTCTTCAATTAGATTATTTGATTAGTATTTCGTATAATTATTGTATTATATAAGTATATCGAAAAAAGCTGTCTTATATATTATTATTCTTTTTATCGCGATATCTATTGTAAAAATCTCGATTACAGATATCTGTTTAAAGTAAATTATATCATTTCGACGATATTAAGTATGTATATTATCTTTTGTTTGATCTCCTATTAGATAGTTTGAATATTTTTACCTATAAGAACGTTTACTGGTGTGTTATCTGCGCTTGTCTCTGTTGTCTTCTACGCGGCGTCTAATCACATCCTTGATGAGCCGAGGGCAAGTTGCGAATTAGAGCGTAATACCTGCTTTCAGCACCTAAATTCAGAGAGCACGGCTAAATAACATCTTCGATGTAGGCAACGCCCGGTAGACGATACTGCGGCTGCTCCAGATCGTAATATCACTTTAATTATGTGCGCCGTATTTGCGCCGGGTCGCGTTATTAATTTCGGGTCCTCACGCCGAGAGACTTACCGTTACGACCTTGGGGGTTATGTCGGATTCTGCGAACCCTCCGGCAGGAACGACGTCGGGCACGGAGACGTATCGTAGAGGGTGGGTACGACCCCCTCCCAGGATACATGTCTGCACGTGCGATGCATCCGCCCAGGCCCAGCACACGGCTCATCTTCGAGATGTTATTGCGCGAGCGAGCCCGTAGCTCCATCGTCCTGCTGTATGTAAATTATTTCGGGCGCTAAATTAAACACAGGTGAAATGGTGTTGCGCGATAAGTTACCGTGAACAGGATGCCTCTCGAAATATCCTTGTTTCCAGGATGTTGATGGCGGCTTGAATATGGCCGGATACTCATTTATTACGTCGACAAGGAAACTGGTAAGATCACGGAGTCTGGAATTACTATGCTTCTCTTGCGCAATAAAAATATCCGAGAGATTTCGCTTCAAAATTTGACTCATCGTCATTGACGAAACTTTCCAAAATTTAATTAATACCAAATTATGGTGGCATACCTTGCACAAGATATTTATGTCCTCGATTTTTGATCATATATTAGAAAATGTAAAAAAAATAAAAAAGATGTATACAGTCATTTAAATGTCATTTAAATTCATCATTCACTAGTCGACGTCATAAATAATTGAGCCTCCTTTTATCACATGTGCGTCAATCTTATCTCGATAAAAGTGCATGCCGCATATAGGTGCATACAGCCGCTTACAGCCTTACTGCCGAAGCTGGATCGCAGTCTATTATTTTTCGCCGATGTAATTTTTCCTCGTTTTCCAGACAGTTTGGTCGGACGTCTCGTGGAAAATATCCCCGCGGATTGCGGTCGCCGTGCAAAATAAATAATCCCTACCGTCGCTTCCGTTTCTCGTTTCGTTCCGCTTCGCGTGTCATGTGTCTGTTCCATTTTTATTGCGGCGAAGCCACCTCGTTACATTGTACGCCTCGTTTTTTTTTTGCAATTGCGTGTACCTCTATTCTGTCCATCTTCGATTGGAATGCACAGCGCGACACAAAATCGTTTCATTAAAACACAATAACAATGATAATATTAATAAAACTCTTATGAAAATTAGCGACTACGAAGCAAATCAAATATCTTTTAGGAATGTATTATATATTTTGCACAGTACCTATATATATATATATCTATCAATTATCTCTATTATTTCTATAAACGACGAAAATATTTATAAACGAATAAATGATATAATTTTTTTAAATATATCATCGAATAAAAAGTTTTTACATTAATGTTAAAGTTTTAGTTTTAAAACGATAGTTTAAAGGTCTTGAATGTGTATATGTGTGAGGCAATTAGCAAACAAATGTGAATAGACGTGAAATTTCGCCATCACTTTCTCTTACGCAATTAATTTTATTTGCCAAATTTTGTAATTAATAATTAGAACACATTATAAAGATATAACAATATCGCACATAGTTGGAACAAATTTATTGCAAATATTTGCAATAATAGAGTTTACCATGAATATTCTAGAGACTTTTAGATAGAATTCTATATTAGATGGATTTTTTATCAAGTATATTTAATTATCCATTTTACAATTTAACTGTGCACAATAAATTTATGTACCTATTATAACTATTTTTAGAAGTAGAAAAATATTAGAATGTATATTATTATAATTAGAATTATTATAAAGTTGTAGTAGCAGAAATTTAATTATAATTATAATATAAACCGTTATCTTTCTCTTTACAATCAAATTAAACTTAGTAAATTATAAGAAACTATTTTATATACGTGCACTTATACATCCTCAGGGATTGAAAGGGAAGTAGAGGTTCGATTTGGAACACTTTGTGAACGTCTTCCCAAAGTGTATAAACTTTCGAGTGTTCTACTGTGGTTGCCATGTAACAAGAAGTTACGAATAATTGTCACTTACTGGAAAACTATCGGTCTTGAACTTCGCGGAGAACTTCCTTACCATTTTCGCCAATGAAAGGACTTAGCTGGAAACTATCCATTATGAAGCTATTATAAGAACTTTTTTAACTTAACGAATAAAGAGTTCCCAGTACATTTCTCTACATACATTTCTATTTTTTCTTTGTTTTACAAATTGTGCTTACAACAGACTTACATGTTTTGCAGCTTAAATTATAATCGCATTCTTATATTTGTAATTAGTAAAGATTTTAAAATGATAATGATTTTTAAATAATAATAATATAGCAAATTGATTAGCATTACAAATAATGAATATTTTAAATTAATTTTTTATTAAATAATATAGTCGGCTTGAATAAAGCTTTTTGTTTCTTCTAAATCAAAATAAAATTATTCTAATTAGTCCTTTAATTTACAATAAAATATATTATTTAATATTTTAAAATTCAGAAAGGTTTGATATCGGGATTGCACCTTGCCCAGTTAACTTTACGCGTGGAAGTAATTTCTGAATGTCCTTTTTAATTTTTTTATTAATTTGTGGCTTCTTCAATAAATGTTTGAACAGTCCCTGGATAAATTGTCCTTGTGTCTTAAACGTTTGGAATTCAAAATCTTCATTATCCTGAAGTAAATTCGGATTTTCAGCCAGATATGTAATGACATTGTTGTATATTATTTTTTCTTTATACGTCAATTCATTAAAATCCACTGTCTGCTGAATTATACTGCCCAGATTTATTTTTATTTTAGCTACGTATATTTTGACCCACACCCATTTGATGGGTAAGGCACCCATATCAGTAAATTTCACCTTATCTTTGTAATACTTGAATGCTTTCAGATCTTGTTTTTTCAAATGCGTTTTACCAGACAATGCACTCAGAATAATTTTATACAGTAATTCTCCGCGAGACATAGTTGATGAAGGTTTGGTTATGTGCAATTTTTCCAACAGCGTTAGATCATTCAAAAATTGCTTCATTTTCTGCATCATAGCAACTTCACCCTTATTCTTGGGCGTTGGCAGAGCAATAATTAAACTCGTTAATTCAGGCTGCCATTGACCTGTAGTTTCAGACATCATTTTCACAAAATTGTCTTCGGACACTTGAATGTTCATCGATGGTATTTCAATAGCATAAATATACATGTTAATCAAGGACCGTAGGTCGGGGTCCGATTGAATTATTTCAGTTTTTCGCAATTTTTGCAAAAGCGTTATCAACAGTGTACCTATATTCGGATACACTAGCGGCTGGAAATCTGGTCCAAGTATTTCCACGATTTTTTTTTTAGACGTCAAAATATTTTTGAGAGGCTCTATTGTTTTCGCGAAAGCACTTTCCTCTTCTAAAGTAGGTAGTAGATCGGCGTAAGGATCAGATGAATTTATAGATTGCAGCCATATTTTAGGATTGACGAGAGGTATAGTAATAGTGTCGGGGGTCGCTTCAGCAGGCGGTCTTTCGCTAATTATACTATGGGTCAAATCATGTACATTAAACGTAGAATAAACAACTCTTGATACTAATTTCTTTGACGAAACAACGATGGGAAACAGTATCGTTGGACTGATGTATTCTATAGCAGAGATATATTTTTGTATTAAATCCATCAAATTTATATTTGTTGTTACTTGCTCATAAGTTATGGCTTTTTTCAATACCGCTAATAATAATGCAATATTTGTGCGGTGAACATTTATCTCATCTTGAAGAATTTTCTTAATATAATTTTTGCCAAATATGACAGATAATGGTTGTAATACTTGTGTTACTACCGGTGTGTCATCATTTAAAAAGAAATCATTTATATTCGCGGGTTTGAGAAGTTTCGTGATTTGCGGTAAAACGAGTCCAGGCACTGTTTTATTATGATCGTCGGGCGTTACAATTGGAATGTTATCATTTAATAATTGTATTTTAAGAGGCTCATTAAGTTCTATACTTGGCGGTAATACTGATGTAGTTATATTTTTAGGAACATCATCTGTCGTTTTTTCTGGAATGTTTGTTTTTTCTTTCTTAGTTTTATGTATTGTCTTCACTGATGGCGTAGGTTTTTCTGTCGTGACATCTTTACTCACATCTTCGAGTGAATACGTTTGACTTTCATTTTCTTCGCTTGTTTTCGGTTGAGATGAAAATTCTTCCTCTTTTATATATGAAATACCATTGGACTCTTGTTGGAATGAAAATTCTTTTTCTTTTATATGTGAAATAACATCGGACTCTTGTTTTTCTTTAATATTAGATTCTATATTTGGTAATATTGTCGTAATAATTGTAGTTGGTTTTTCGGTCTTCGTCGGTTTTTCTACAAAATTTTTTTTTCTAGTTTCGTTTTTATGTATTTTCTTCACTATAGATTTTTTCATTGTGATATCTTTATTTATCTCTTCGAGTGGATATATTTGACTTTCAATATCCTCGATTACATTCAATTGGGGTGAAATTCCTTCCTCTTTTATATTTAAAGAATCAACATCGGACTCTCGATCTTCAATAATATTCGGTGAAACAGATATTGATTGAGGTTGCTCCTTTTCTGGTTTCTGCAATGGTTTAGTAGTAGTTTCAGGAGAATCAGCATATATCGATGTTGTCGAAAAAATTAAAAACTGATCCGATAAATTTTCTTGAGAAAGTTTACTTGATTCCGTATGTTTGGTGGTTTGCGCTTGATTTGTAACGATTGTAGACGATTCCACTTTCGTTTTTGTAGATTTAATATTTTTCATTTTTTTGGTTGTTTGTTTATTATTTTCCGTAATTTGCCTTCTTGCATTGTTTGACGATCCATATTGCACATCAGATGTCACATTATAATAACTTTTTAACTTCCATTTATACAAGCTATCATTTAAGTTATTGGGTATTATTTGCGACTTCTTTATCTGTTTAATTTCATAATTGCTTACGTTGAAAACAATATCTGTATCAGATGGAATGAAAAATTGCGGTATAAAATAATTTTGTATTTGTGTTAATCTAGTCTTCAAAATATATGTTATGGTTTGAATATTTGTCATTAATGTCATAGGCAGATTATCATGTAAACTTTGTATCTTCTGGAACGTATAGATCAAACATTGGATAGGTGTAAGACAATTGTATTTTTCCGTCGGCAATAAAGTACTCACAAGCACAGATAATTGTGGCTGTGAGATTAATTCAAATTTTATGGAATCTATTGTCGATTGAAACACCGGTTCTATGTCAGGAATCTTCAGAGATTCTATGAGTATCAATACATCAATCTCGGGTGAAACAAACGGCGTAAAAGTTCTGGTAGACTTTTTCAAGATCAAAGTTGACAGCAGAGGTGTAATTGATTGCTGTATCGTTTGTAGACTACTATTTGGAAAGCTTGGAATACGATTCACAAGTCTCGTTAGGAATGCGATGAGAAGATCTAAGGGATCACGGTAGGCAAATCTGTTGAATCCGTTGAGAATTTTATCCAAATCTCCATTTCTGTAATTATGCATGAAATACGTAACCAGATGGTCTTTCAAACGGATCGCATCCGGACCGAACTCTTGAGGAACGATCGCCGAGAATAGCATTTCGATATCTATGTCTTGTTTAATCAGACGATGTAGATATATCATGTTCGGATTGTCATAAGTCGGAGTCATCACGAGTCTCAAGTGATGATAGACGTAAGCCGCAGCGTTCTTCACAACCATTCCTACGTCCGAGACGAGGATCTTCGACAGGACGGAAAATACAAGTTTGTAAGCGTCGCTACTTATGGAATGTTCTTCAATCAAATCCCAGGTTTTATGATCAATGTTATTATTTTTGGTTAAGTCGTAGAGATATCTGATGTTTTCCTCCAATGCAGGATCATCGTTAGGATTGGGCAAGTTTATCAATATCAAGCCGAACAGATTTTGCGACAAAGATAGCGTGCGCGTTTGTAAATTGTAAAAAAGCTTCACGAACACTGGACCGAGAGCTTTTTGCGTAATATTCGAATACTTGTCATATCCTTCCATTTCGTCGTCGACAATTTTTATCTTACTTTTCAAAATGCCTAAATCAATATTGATAAGGTAATTAAACGTCTCAGATGTCTGATTGAGTAATTTATTTAAATCGATCCTCTCTTGTTCTATCTCATTAATCAAGAATCTAGCTGTGCATTGAAGATAGGACGGTAGATTTTTTATCAGCGACAATAGTATTATAGCTGTCTGTTGATTCTTGTCCACGGTATTTAATTTAGATAGAATGGATATTAAATTATATGTATAAGCCATTTTCTTCTTGAGAAACTCATTAAGAATCTGCAGGGATGTATATTGCTCTTCCGTGAGTCCAGTTTCGCGATTGTGTAATAAGTATGAGAAAATGTATAGTATGTTATCTCGGAATGTCACTGATGTTTTTAATTTTTCTATCACGTTCCTCGATTTATTATCATCTTTCGAAATGTGTTGTTTATTTACCACATAATTAATACCGTCCTTTTCGATCAGCATTGGACTTAAAGATCTTCGCACAACGCCGAAGTTCGAAAGAGCACCAAGTAGGACATCTGAAGAATTTTTTTCCTGGTGCCGAATTACCTTTAATCAAAAATACCTTTTAACATCAACTATTAGATGATGTAAAAAATATAATAGAAAAATGAATAATTATATATATAATACTCTTTCTCTTTCTCTTTCTCTATTATTGTTCCATTTTAAGATTATTATATTATTTTATAAAACAGATTCTTATAATCTTACTCTCTCTCTCTCTCTCTATAATATTATTTTATAAAATAGATTCTTATAATCTTACTCTTTCTCTCTTACTTACTCTTTGTTTTAATTCCTGACGTTGTTCGCTCTAAAAGCAAAAGAGAGATCAAATTATTAGTTTACTTGACAAAATAAATATGTATTTTATTTTTTTAAAACTATTATATTTGTTCAATTTTAATTATTATAATTATTATATATATAGCTCGGGTGTAAATAATAAAAATTTGAAAAACAAATGTTTGACAAATGAAGACTTTTGTGTTCGCTTTTATCATAAGTACATCTAAAAATAATTTAATTATGCAATTTGATTGCTCTTGATAACAGACTAATTCAGTAGTTTTTGATGGATATGTATCACTTGGCACCTGAGTTACACATAATTATAATAATATTGTCACTATAATATTTCCGATACTATTATTAATAATATTTTTATTAATAATATTTTGTCGAATCGTTAATTCGTATGGGACAATATAATAATAAACTTACTGCACTCACAAACGTTGTTCCAATTATGACGAAAAAAGTGACGGTTATTATATTGCTCACTATCATTTTGTAGAACGTTATGGCCGAATCAAGGCAAATGGAGTCTGTATAAAAATTTAATAGTCGTTTATATGTATAAAACGTTTCACATTACACAATATTTTGTTAACTTGTAAGAATATTACATCTCACAACGCGTCCACAGAGACTGAAGTTTTAACGAAGGCGTCTCTTTTATATAAAGTACAACACTCGCATTGCCATAGAATTAGAATTATCCAAGTGCATGTATACGACCGCCGGCTAAGAATGAGTAACTCGACGCCAGCTCATGTTATTGCTAACTGATAATTAAATTTTACTGTTCTGTACGCCGGTATTCCCTTTCCTCTCCTACGTTCCTTCAACTTGTCGGCTTGAGCTGTTGCATCGAGCGAGATGAGATATGGCTTCATAATTTATTATTGATGTTTTAAATGATTATGAATTTTCTATTATTTTTAGTGTTACAAAAATCATATAATTTTATTACAGGAAATGTAAAATTCTCAGATTTTTTCTAAATTCTCTCTAAATTTTTTTGACTTTCGATTTGACTGCGCTTTAAAAAATGCGGATTTTTTCAAAATTGTATTGTATATGATGGATGACATTTAATCACTATATAACGTAAGATTAGGAGCCGCACATGTATGTTAATAATGTGTATGTTAATAATGTGTATGTTAATAATAAAACACACGTCATTTTTAATGTTGTGCATAAACAAAAGATATATCGATCAACTCGACGTCATTATGGATTAAAAAGGAATCGCAATAGACAGCGTGGATATATGCGATAGACTATATACACAATGAATATAAATACTGCAAAGATGCAAAAATATGCTGGATCAATTTGTTTGAAAAATTTTCTCATCAAAATACCGCGCTTCAGGGAATTGCTACCGGTGCATCAAATTTTCCTCGATTTCTTCATTGCCGTTTTGTTTTCAATATTTTTTCAGAACGACATATTGCTTCTTATTATGATTTCGTATCGGACATGTAGAGAGCGATCGTATTAAAAAATTTTTCATTAAATACAAATGGTCTCGAAGCTAAAAGGAACTATTTTTTGTAACATCTCTGAGCAAACTTCTTATATCAAATGTTTATTTTCACACATTTATATTTACGTAAATCAATTTATTTATGACACGTTACAAAGATCTTATTGCAATTGATTTCTTGGTGTATGCAAATGGAGAGAGTTGATAATCATAAAAAATATATGGTTTATATGTACAGTAATATTTCGACAGCCTGTAGCAATTACATTTATATGCTACAAATCATTTTTATGTGCTTTTTTTATCGACATATACGAAGCTTGAGTGCACACGACATTCAATACATATAAGCGACAAAATGAACCGTCGTTCTCCTACACCACGCGATTGAGCGCGGTATATTTTTATTCGGTCGGCCAATAAAACCGAAGCTGACAATCCGCGCAGTAGCTCTCCCTAATAAATGACAATAGATAACGACCGAAAGGGTCACGCCGTCGTGAACGATAAGGCGGTAGGACAGTGACGAATAGGCCTTCGCGAAGCTTCGACGGTACTGCAATTCCATGCAACCGGCTAAGCCGGCCGCTATCATGCCGGGGATGGTAGCGCCAATTCCGGTAGGTGATCCATTATCTTAAACGGCATCGAGCAATCGATTCGCACCGCTCATCTCCGAGCACTTTTTCAGGTTTCGGACAACTTTTCGCAGCTCTTTGCAACGATTTCCTCTCATTCTCTCCCCCCCCTTCTTTCCTCTCTATCGGTCGTACCCTTCTATCACTTGACATGCGTGAATTTTTGGATCGACTCGTAAAACCCGAGCGCGCGACTGCATATTGCGCTTCTGCGTCCACCTCCATCGCCTCGTCCGTAAGGTCAACCTGTCGAGATTGGGATTGAGCGATGCGCGAATATACGATAGCTTCACGTACGAGAGTTAAAAGCATGCGCGTTTTTGGAAAAGCATCGTTTTTCTCGCATCTCTCCGTGGAAGAATGAACTTCTATTTATCCGCAGTAAAGATTAATGACGCTGTTTGTCGGCGATAAAATTACCCCACGATTGTTATTCTGTTTTGGAAAACAGTATATATAATCAAGGTTGTAAATAAAATACGGAGCTTTAAAGTGTAGCGGCAGCTGCTGCTACTGCCAGACTTTTGCGATAGTAAAATTAATTCGTGCAAGATACCGAGAACGTTAATGTTTTATCAAAAATTGTTGGAAGAAAATTTAAAAAATTTTTCATTCGTATATAAAATATTTTTGAAAATATACATCATTTTGTTCCAATCCCTTTAAATTATTAGCGGTTCATTTTCCTCGATATGATGATATTACGAAATATGAAAATGGATATTCATTATCGCTTACATTATATACAGTATTGAATGCATCAAACCGTGGCATATACTTTCGTAAGCATCAGTATTTTTCGCGACAGAAATTGCACCATCCGTTTTAATAATTCGTTTAGTGAGAAATTTTTCATTATCGCACATTTTCAATATCGAAAAAGAATTTTATGGCAAATTGAGTTAATGCTCTCGATGTTAATAGTATCAGCATATTCCTCTTTGACGATATATTTTATAAATATATAACTGTTTATTTTTACAAAATGGTCAAGATAACGATTACCCGCCATTGAACAATTTTTCTAGTATAAATCAGAAACGCAAGATATATAGTCCTTTAATGCAACTCACTGCGTTGCAGTGGTACGAGTCAAAATTTATTAAATCTTGATTAAACACACACAACGTTTTTGATTGTTTTGCGAAATTGAAGAAAAACTCTAGGTTTTTTTGTAGATATTTTTATTCATCCCCGGATAGCGCAACCCGATTGAATGCCACTGTGCACTATAAATTCCGCCGCTCGATTGCGAAAACCGTTTTTGGAGATTACAATTGATCGACGTTTGCTGAAATCTAAGCTTTTACGATACCGAAAACTCTACGAATTTTTATGAACGCTTTAGATCCTAACTTCTCTCGCGAGGCGAGTTTCATTTGACCCAGATATAAATTTTATGAAGCTTAATCAACTTTTTTGCTCCTTTTGCGGTTATATGAATTGCAATAAGAAAATTTGTGTCGAAATTATCTTGAGCAAAATCGTTGGACAAATGATAATAATTTGGATTCTTTATGAACGTTTAACATTTATCCATTATAAGATAATAGAAATAGAAATAAAAATAGAAATAGTTAAATCTAAATAATAGTTCAAATCGATGATATTATCTTGTAAGTTACTCTGGACAAACTCATTTTAGTAGGCGCTTATTCACACACGCGCACATATGCACACACACATTATACGTATATTCACACAAATTAATTTACTTGGGACTGCATGTTACCCAAAGTTCTTATTATCGCAGTGATTGATTAGCGGGAATAAGCGTACCGCTATGCATATTAACTTTTAAGTATCCGGAAAGCTAACATTGCGGCAAATTAACTACCGCGACTGTATTGTCGTTTTTTCCTCGCTATAATATCGCTATTGTATTATATAACGGGCAACTCTTTAAAAAGAAAAAGAAATATCATCGCAAATTATGTCATCGTATAAAATTTCGTACAGATTATGTCTTATTTATTTCTGCACGATCTTTTTGAATAAAATAAAATTTTTCCTGTTCTCTGTTTTTTACAGGATGCGGAAGTATCGCACCAAAGTCCACTTGGGGCAAAGTCGCTACCATGGGTTATGCTAGCCTCGGGATACCTTTGACTTTGGTGTACTTGTCTAGCGCAGGAGGTCTCTTGTCCAGATGCGCCAGAGGTGTTTTCACACGAGCCCTTTGCTGCTGTCTTTGCTCGAATTGTGGCTATTGTTGCTACGACGAGAGGCGGATGCAGGTTAGTAGAGACAGGACATGCTTCTCATCGTGAATTTGGCGTCGTTACTTGATAAAAAATTTAACCGTAGACTGTCGGTATTTTTCTCGTTGAAAAAACCGAGTATATGTGATAGGAAACGCATATGTCGCAGTAGGTCGATAGCATTGCATGGTGCAGGATATGCGTGTCCTGTAGAGTCGATAAGGATTAATGTGGTTACGGAGATATTGATTGGTTATTGTTAGAGTGCTATTCAAATAAAATTGGATCAGCTTCGAAAATCCCCTGACACTCGAGATACAAGAGTGTAAACGATGTCGGCGTTTATTCGAAAGCATCGCGTTGCAACGAATGAAATTGGCACGCGTATAGAATGTCGATTGCGTCAGAGGGTACATATGAAAAATAAATAAATAAATAAATTTCTCTGCATGTCCTCGAACATTTTTTTTGTATGTACAGGAGAAGGAGCGACGAATGAGAAAGAAGCGACAGCAAGAGGAGCTGGCGCAGCAACAGCAGCAGCAATTGCAACTGCAGGAGCCCTTTTACGTTCGCGCGAATGCATCGACGTTCACAAGTACCGTGGAAATTAAGGCCAGTCCGAAGGATGAAGTATCGAGCCTCGGCTCAGGTGACAGACCCAATGTCACTATACTCGCGCCAATCAGTATCTGCCTTGGCGCAATGTTGTGTTACATCATTGCCGGAGCGTTCACTCTGCACAAATTGGACGGTTGGTCATTTATAGGTGAGTTTGATCTTGAAAAAGAAAAACAAATAAAAAGAAGCTTTTCAAACGTATGTTTTTAATTAGTAATGTTGCGTCGATTTTCTACGTGAACTTCAGTATAGTTTAGATATTAACATTTTTCTCGAAAACAGCATAATTTTTCAAAGAAATTAATGCGACCGTATTTTCCCTGCATTTCTGTTGGCATAAATTCTGTGACGTGAATGTAACGTAATATATATGCTAACATAAAATATATATAAATATAAAGCTGTAATATGTAGTATTATGCCGCGGAAGGGTTAATAGCGCGCTTCTTTCACATCTAGACGCGAGCTATTTCTGCTTCATGAGCCTGAGCACCATCGGCTTCGGCGACATGGTACCCGGTTCTTATCCTCGTCACACCCTCGCCGACTCGAGAAACGTGACCGTATGGTTCTGCTCGTGCTACATAATGTCAGGTATGGCACTGACAGCGATGTGCTTCAACATTCTCCACGACGAGATCGTCCATCGACTGAGCCACCAGCCAGACAAGTCGGAGCCAGTGAAACCAAGCTCATCTGTGGACGAACTATCGACGGACCCGTTTGCGCTGACCTCGTGACAATTTCCGTCAGGCAATCTGTGCCATAGGAACGGCACCGACGAGAACAATATGTGTGGCACGGAACCACCCACCAATATATTCGCTCAGGAGAATGAGATCAACATTCTGAAAGACACCTTCAATCAAGTGGACGTTACCAGAGACTGCAAGCCGATCCTGAAACTCGAGGATCATGTTCCACCGATTTCTGCTGTTTATATGTTGCCCAAAGTCGACGAGGAGGCTGAGGAAAATACGGAAATGTGAAAACTTGGGCGGATTTCCGGAAACAGTACGACAGTTCAATTAACTAAAGATTACTGAAGACGGCATTTATACGGATCGTAACCAGATGAATAGGTATATGTAATATGTTGTATATGCTAAATCGTATTGTCAAATTGTGACGGAAGGGCGTTTTTATTGAATCTATTATTGATGTTGAATTTATTGATGAAATATCAAGAAAGTAACAATGTGCTCAAAATTTACTCTTTTTATTAGAAATATAAAAAAATTTTTAAACTTTCCTCCAACATGAAAATTAAAAATTTTTCTTTTGATCGTTATCTAATTTTATTGAATTACATATATATATCTATTGAAGAATTGGTTATCTTCTTCTAGTAATATAATAAATGTGCCATATATTATTGCAATATTTTTTTGTATTGTTTCTTACATTTTAATTTATCTTATATATTTAAATTCAACGATTAATGATAGAGTCATTGACTCCTTCATTAATGATGAACATAAATAAACAATATATTATCTGGGATACATTCGAAAAATTTGAAAATAAGTGCTTGAACCGTGAACGCAAGTAGGACATCCTCTTTGAAATCAATATAATAAGAGTCTTATTTTTGCCTGTGTAGTAAAAATAATCTAAACTTAATATTTACATTGTCGACATAATTACGTTTTAATAGGATTTCGATCATTTAATCCGATTACTGCGAATTATATAATTAACGATAAAAATATTCGTCGCTGAATCTATCTGTGATTACTGTAAGTAAATTTAATATTATATTGTTCTTGATATATTGGTAAAGATTGATATAAAAGTAAAAATTATTTAATTTTTTTTAATATTATATTGAAACTTGAAATATAAGATAAAATTGTTGACTTTTTGTTTATATAAGAATGACTCTGACTAAAAAATAGCATACTCGTAATTAAGTCATGTTGACAAATTCAGTAATGGCATTATATAAGTTCTACGTAAGATGGTACTGAGATAGGCAAAGTGTCTCTCAAATGTCATAGAAATTTCTTGAACTTCCACCAGTTTCCACGTTGCCAGGTTAATCTGGAAGTGTCCTTAATTAATGTTTGCTCGATATTGCTAGAGAATATGAAGCTACCATTTTCACAAAAACGAGATTTCGCGTGTCGAAAGGATAAATGTAAATTTATTTGCATTTGCTTAACAAAGTTTCTTTATGCTGATTAAATGCATGAATTATTATTAAAGATATCTTTCAAAGTACAGTCGTGTTATTTATGTGAATGTTGCTCGTAGATATGTTATCTTGTATTAAATTAAAATAATTTGGATTAATTGAAGAGATCACGAAAAGAGAGTAATATCTTAGAGACTGAAAACCATAAGTAATTCTTCATTACGACTTAGATATTCGCGTACCGATATTGACGACAGGAAATTACGTCGTCGATAAAATGAGTAGAGCAAATGACCGGCATAAAATAATTTCCCAGGAGGCAATGGCGCATTTTATTCGCCGATGCCGCTGTTCGTGCACGGAAATGTTGAAACTCTTCTTTTATTTCCTTATCTTTTCTTATTCGTGTCACGTACGGCAGTTGCTTTCTAAGAAAGCCTCGGGATTGACTGAAAAATTGATATTTTTTCGATATATAAATAATGCCTTAAAAATACTGTGTCTTGAAGAGTACTTTAAGTGCTGTGCAAAAAATATTGAAATGAAAATCTGAAAATATTTTGCATGCATGTGAGTGCAAAAGAAATATACATCCAGCATCATTGAATATAAATAACAAGGATTTTTGCCAAATCTTTCGAGAATCGACATAGTCATCATGAAGGCACAATCACCATTTCTTTTCATGATCTACTTTTGCCAAAAAGTCTGATTCGAATCGATATCCTGCGGAGGTCTTCTCTTACGGCGAATTAACATATCTTTGAATAATAATTTCGCAGTAAATCACGCACAAGAAAGAATTTTTACGGAATCCTCCTTGAAATTAATTTCCGATAATGCCGGATCTGTGCTTGACGTCAATTCCTCGGTAAGCATATTACGAGCGAAATCACTTGGGTGAAATCAATCTAGATGTACCCGCGAACTTGAGTATGGCGGCTTACCCGCTTGATATTCAATGAGATTTCGAGGACGTCCTGGCTTGCGCGGACGGAGATCGACTTAATGTTTCTACACGCCTACTTAGATAGGGACATGTAAGAATTTTTTATATTTCCGTACTTAAGCATTCGCGAAGTAAACGTATTCTTGTCTGTAATATAATTAATGTAAGCTATCTCGATCCTTGCGTCTAGCTCGGGATGGATCGAGGAGATATGCACGCGTATATGATACTCGTTTATCGATCGATCTGTCATGTTTTTCTATGTCTTCGCGATTTTTATCACACTGCCGAAAATCTACGAAGATAGCCAAAGAATTCGATTGTCGTTGAATGAAGATTACGTTTCTTAAAGAGATGAGCGATATCTAAATTGAGATGATCATTTAAGAATGTTTGTGTGCACAAAAAGTGTCTACGGAATATTTTATTGTAATTTAATTAAAAACTTAATTTTTAAGTAAGGAGCGATATCGCTTGTGTAGCGATAATTGTAGCGAGTCTTGTAATATTATAATAATAATAATTAAAATAATTAAAAACATATTGTTTATATACTGCCGTCAGCTAGACGCTAGAATCAAATGAATGAAATCAAATTCTGTGCTCAAGAACAATAACTAAGGTACTTACGGATAAGTATTAATTCCTAAGAACATATTGCGTTTAAAAGAAGACTTATCCTCGTTCTTTCATATTGATACTCGAATAGTCTATGAGAAAAAAAGTGCGCGTAAACAAAGCATAACTGTGAATTAATTGTAAATGATTATTTTCCTCGTGTATGGGGCAACTTTTGTGCATAATTATTAATATTATAAGCGTGCCACACACAAAGTCCTATGTTGTATTAAATATTCTTTACATATCTTTACGCCAATATATATAAACGATTTAATTTAATCCAAAATTGAAATAAAGTTAGAATAAATTATGTACTAAATTCAAGTTGTACTTTTTTTTATACTGGATAAATTTTTTTTTTGCGAATACAAAGTGAAAATTTGACATCAGATTGACGCAAAGTCTGCCTTCACACGACGCAGAGGAACGAAATAATCGCGTATACTTAACGTGCCCCTTTCTTTCTTTCGTTTGTTCGTAACATATCATATGGTATAATGGACCGTCTGGTCGGGGCCGTTTCTTCATTCATTCGTATCAATATTCATACAAACATATGTTATCTCGATATTAAAAGCTAATCCGAGCGAATCGCCGAGATGGCTATCGCGCCCAACCGTGCAACTAACAGGCGAGAGAATCTCGTACAGTGTCTAATGACAATCGATACTGGCTTGAGCAGTTGCTAGAGTTATCGTTATCACTCCGTCGGTGATTCGATGGAGGGTCGTGGCCAGCAGCCAAGACAAACTTTACTTTGGTGCTCGTACCAGGCTATCCAGCCATCGATCCAATCTCTACCCTACCCGCCCATACAAACTTCCTCACACTCGAGTTCGAATCGAGGCGGGCGCTTGCTCCAAGCTGGCGCTACGGCGATTTGTTGCGAGAATCTATTTACAACTTTCCATATACGTTCCCATGTACGCGAGGAATCGCGCAATAACCGCCGCCGTGTCACGATTACAAATACCGAAGAGAGTGCTTGAAAGTTGGCTGCCACATTTTTTTAAAAGATAGAATACTTTGGAAAAGAATACGAGAAACAGAGGGAGAGAGAAAGAGACATGAGAAAGAGATTGAATATCATGTGACCGATATTTTGCATAACCTTTTAATTAAACTTTTTATTAATCGATACTCTTGTACTATACCTAAACGATGTCTTTTTAGTCGTATTATTTTTCAGATCGTTTTTAATTCTTTCGCAAAGTTTCCTCTCGAGATAATAGACTCATTTACGAGGTGAACTTGCGAAGCGAATTAAAGTTTGTGTAACTTTTCGCTACGGATATTGAATTCGTTTATAATGTAAGTGAATTTGGCTATATCAAAGAAATGTATTTATACCGTATCGTATTATCAGTTTGCTGCTGGAAATGAAGAAGAAAGTTAGAGGAATAAAGGAGTTATATACAATCTCTCGCATCTTCCACTTTAAAACTTTTTAATTATTATTAGTTGATATATATTATATAATTTCGTAGCTATATTCATCTCTTTATATTACATGTAAACGCTATTCTAAAGAATTTTTATTACACAAACATATCCTATAAAAAAAGAACAGAAGAGCAAACTCTCTTAGACTTTTATTCGCAGAGATTTCATTTTATCAGTCATATTTATTATTATTTATATCATCTCGAAATATATGCAAATATTGGCAAGACGAAATATCATTATCTTAGGTTAACATCATTACCAAATTGTGACGAGCGATCTTTTCAATATATAACGCTGTCTATAAGCGCAGGACGAAGTCCCAGCGCGACGAAAGTCCAGGCCGGCTTCTCTCCTTTCACAGGATTTTCTTTCCTGCGTAGCTCCTCATCTTTCGCCCTTACGTTCCGGTTTCCTCTGTCGTACTCCAGGGAAATATAACTGAGTTCAAAGCTCTCGACGGTCGACACGAAACTTTAGCGCGACAATTTTGCACGAGAAATATCCAATGAAAGTCAAACGCCACGGGATTCAGCCTCATCGGTGCGTTTTGGCCTTGAAGGAAAAAAAAAAGGAAAAAGGAGGAAAGTAAAGCCCGACCTTCCAACAGCCGACTTAATGGAATTAATGGTCTTCTGCTGTCGCCTTACATATTCATTCCGCGCGCGAATCAGCCTGCGAACCGCCGAGTTTTCGAAAGCTTCGAGAAAGTCGAAGTCTATGTCTCTTGACACTCAATTGCGCTTCTATCAGGGGCAATTAATGTTTCTACTACTTCTGACTGCTATCGTTTCAAAGAGCTTGAGCGAAGTGCTGCAAAATTAAAGCAAACTCACTTTGCGCAAAGTTATTACACTTGACCAATACGCTTGCTTCTAATTTACTTTCATCTTGCTTCATCTCCTCTCAGCAGACAAACATTTGTAGTGAAAAATTATTTACTGTGATATTTGTACGAGAGTAGAATAGTTATTTGCATATTTCCGTTTAATTCAAATATTATACAGATAAATATTTGTTATCGGGATGAGATATTATTGTCGGTATTGCT